TCATCCCCCACTCCAAATCAGGCTGGGTTGGTTATGCTGATCTAATGTTTTCCTTATCATGGTTTGTGTGAGGCTAAGAGCACATGTTTTAGTTTGCTTTTTCAGTATGCTGATGGTAGTCCTTTGAGATACTAGTTTAAATTATGCAGCATGTGCAGTATTATAAAAACAGTTTCAGAAATCAACTATTCAAACAAAACTGAAATACTGCTTGTACCATGAGCTTTGTTATGCCCCAACTTAGCAAGAACAATTTTCTGCAGAAAATAGCCCCCAACCTTTTTAGGAATACACCTTGCAAAATATTCTGAGAAAATCTTCAGTTTTCCTTTCCAACAAGTAGAAAAGAACAACTTTCAGGATTGCTCCCAGGAGCTAATTTTTTCCTTTCTTTGAGAGCCACCCTCAGTCCCCTCCTGGTATGAAAAAGGTGGTTTGGCATTAGGTTAGTTCAGTAGTTTGAATTCACTGTTCTGTTCAGGATAGAAACTAAGATACTTTTTAAAAACTTAGCCTAAGTCTTAAAGTATGTCTACAAGAGTTTTTCAGTTTTGTTGGGCAAACAATTTCAAATTCAACATTGCATCCTTTTCTGCCATTAAAACAGACCAACTCTTGCAACATGGCCTGCATCCAAACTGAAAAGCACACATCTTTTACTGATATGACATAGCCTCTATTTAAAGAAAGATAGGATTTAATCTTAAAGACAACCTCATCAAAGCAGCTGATACAGAGTCTGTGTAGAATTATTCTTTTACAGAATCACTTGCACTAGCTGGCATTCTTCTCTTCAAATGAAAGACAAACGTTTGTTTTTGGTAGTTACTGACTACTTTCAAGTTACTTCTCCTTTTATTTCAAACAGGCAGACATTTCTTATTAAAGTTCAAAGAACTCCTGTCTGAGTCTAAAGAGAAACTTATGGTGATTTTTGTTACCAAAATCTGTACATTTCCATACCCTGGCGTTCTAGAAAAGGATGATCTGTTTGGCATTATGACACTGTTTTGAAAATAAAACCAAAGGATTTCTCTCTTTGCTGTTTAAGAAATTAAATCCCTATCATGCAAGCCTGGTGCCAAACACTGATTTCCACCTGGGGAAGATTTTAAACAAAGATACTTTACCACGTGTTTTCCACAGCTGCCACTCTGTCAGTATTATAACCCAGGGTGAGGAACAGGCACAGCCTGAACTTAAAACCGGAGTTTCCCAATTCTGCCGATCCCTGCTCTGATATAGGGCATCTGCAGCCTGAGCAGGTCACCCGGCCTCTTCCCTTTCGCTACCTGCAAACAGTGATTATTCCGTTTATATACAGACTGCAAAGCCTCAGCTTGCCTCTCAGCCTGCAAAACGCCTGTGGAAATAGCATTACTGTAATCACCCGCAGTATCGACAAGCTTGAACTTACGTATACCTTTCTGCCAAACGTGAGGGAGGCAAAGCCCAGGCACTGCAAGACGGCGAGGCGGGCAGGTGAGGGCAGGCCGCGGGGCAGGCCCGGCGAGGCCAGGGCGCCTTCCCGTGGCAGTCGAGGTCCTGCTGCCGCTGAGGGGACAGGCCCCGACGGCTCTGGGTGCGTGCAATACAGAAGTCTCAGCAAACACCCCCTGGCAGCCCACTGCCATAGCAAAGCCCAGCCGCCACCTGAGAGGAAACCTCGCACGACACCGCAGCGCAGCGCCAGCCGGGCACTCGGCCCCGCCCCGCTTCCCCCGCCCCCACCGAGACTACACTTCCCGTCGAGCCTTTCGCCGCAGCAACGTCCGCCCTCCCAGAAGGCTACGCGGCGCCGCGCACTGCCATTGGTCGGATTTGAAAAGAAGCCGCGGCTTTGCCGGATACGCTGTACCGGTAAGCGGTGGCGGTTGACCGGACAGGTGAGGGAGCGGAGCTGCCTTCACCCGGCGGGGGTCGGCGGCCGGGCCCGCTCGGCGCAGCGCAGCCCCTCAGGTAAGCCCGTGCGGGTTGCGGGGCTGCTGGGCTTTCGCTTGAGGAGGGAAAGGAGGCGGTGGTTGCGGCCTGGGGGTCGCGGAGCTGGGAAGCGGTGTGGGTGGCCTTCGTGGCGGGCGGTGCTGAGGCCCCGTCCCCTCGCTTCTCCCTGCTGCGATCGTGGTTGCTAGCGTTACGGTGGGTGGAAAGTCATAGGCAAGGGGGTGGTGCGGTGTGTGAAAACTTCTCGGTACTGCTGTGGGGCGCGCAGGTCGCGGGTGACGCCAGGGCCGTGATGCTGACAGAGCCCTGCGGCGGTGTCCCATAAGAACGGGCAAACAGTGCGAAGTCTCGACGTGAAAGATTGATATCTGCAGAGGGAAAATTTTCCTTTTTAGCTTTTTTATGTGTAAGGGCTGATGCTTTATGTTTTATATAAGCTGCCAGGCTTCTTGTGTGGTTTGGAGCCTTTTCTACACTTTCTTGTGCTGCCTGACAGTGCTACAGGCCGTGTGTGTACTGTGACCGCACTTTGCTGTGCGTGTTGCTCTGGATCCCCTTCTCTTAGGGTGTATGCAGCTCTAAACTATTGTCACGATAAGCAGAGTTACAATAACGTATCCCAGTATACAAGTACCTTTTAGCGGCTACAGCCAGACAATATACCTGTTTATGCCAGAATATCTAAGGTAATTACAGTGCTGTATGACAATGTGCAGACAGATGGACAGTCTGCATCTTGGGTTATGCATGCTGTCAGTGGCTGAACATTACAATGGTCTGAATGCTGGGCTCATACGAAGACTTTCAGTTCCAGCTTTGCATACATAGCTTAATGTTTGCCCCTTCCCTCTTACGTAAAGAGGCACAGAATGAGAGCATAATCTTGACAAATCACACTTTAAAATAAGCTTATATCTAAAGCAACTAAAATGTCAGTTATCTAACAAATATGTTTCCTGTCAAGGCCTGATAAGAGTTTTGCAGTGTGACTTTGTGTAGCTGATGAGTAAGACTTCTAGATCGTGACAGCACAGGTATGTTTCTTTGCAGTAGTAGCTTATTCACTGGTCAGTGTTTGTTCAAGCTGTGATAATATTTCAGGCTGAGTTTTTCCAGGTTTTCATACAGTTGCCTGACAAAAATAAAAACTGTAGATTAGAAGAAACAAAGTAAAAATTGCTGCTTAGTTTCTGTATCTGCCTTTTACAGGTTAGATAGGAAGGCTGAGCTGTTAAGTGTTTTGATGCTGAAGTGCTGACATGTTCCAGGTTTTATGCCAAGAGGAACAAAAATATTATGATTGCTTAATAGGCAACACTTCCTGTGCAAAGGGGCTTTGAACCAGCCCTGTTGTGTCTATTGTTTTAATGAACACTGTGTGTTCTCCATTAGTATTTAGAGAGACAATGTATATGCATTGCTGTAGCATAGATATGGGGATGTAGTATTAGAAGATCATTGAACTGTTGTGTCCAAAGCTTCAAAATTGTAGGAGGCCGTGTGGTAAGTGTCTAATTGCTGGAACACTTGCTGCCATAGTCTATGAGTAATTGCCCAATGAGTTATTTTAAACTTAATCCATAACAAAAGCTGCCAAGCCACATCTGTAATATCCCAGTGTCATGGTTTAACCCCAGCCAGCAACTAAGCACCACACTGCTGCTTGCTCACTCCCCCCGGTGGGATGGGGGAGAGAATCAGAAGGGTAAAAGGGAGAAAACTCGTCGGTTGAGATAAAGACAGTTTAATAATTGAAGTAAAATAAAAATAGAACAGTTAAATAGGTAAAGCAAAAGCTGCACACGCAAACAAAGCAAAACAAGGAATTCATTCACCGCTTCTCATGGGCAGGGAGGTGTTCAGCCATCCCCAGGAAAGCAGGGCTCCATCACACCCAGCGGTTACTTGGGAAGACAAATGCCATCATGCCGAATGTCCCCCCCTTCCTTCTTCTCCCAGTTTATATACTGAGCATGACGTCATATGGTATGGAATAGCCCTTGGGCCAGTCTGGGTCAGCCCCCCCCGGCTGTGCCCCCTCCCAGCCCCCCTGTGCACCGAGAAGAGCATGGGAAGCTGAAAAGTCCTTGACCAGTATAAGCACTGCTTAGCAACTATTCAGCAACAGCTTAGCACTACTTAGCAAGAACCAAAACATCAGTGTATCAACATTATTCTCATCCTAAACCCAAAACACAGCACTCTACCAGCTCCTAAGAAGAAAATTAACTCTGTCCCAGCTGAGACCAGGACACCCAGGAAAAAGCAATAGCAGAGTGCAGACAAAATATGCTAACGTTTTTAAATAAAATGCACTTTTTAAAGGTTATTTTGAAATTTATCTCTCTACTATCAACACTGAATCAGTTTATTTTCATTTTCTATGGCAAATTTTCACTGCCCGGATTCTGAGATGCATAAAAATAATTGTTATAGATTAATAAATGAATTAGTGATCTGTAAAAAGACTGAAAAAATGACTAAAAAGCACTACTTGTACTTTGGCATGAGGTCTTCTAATTTTCCAGTGTCCTCTTAATAGCTAAAACTATCTGTTAGTCTTTAGAACGTTTCTGAGCTCTGTCTTGTATTAAACTACATTTTGTTATCTTTAGAATACCAAGTATTTATCAGGTCCTGCAGAGATAACCATGGAGTTTGGGTTACTCTTGCAATGAGCTTTTATTCTAAATGAACATTATAATGAGATGATGGAGAAGTGGATGTGGAACAACATAATTTAAAAAAAAAAATCATATCTTCCTCATCAGACATGGTTTTTAGCAAGGTTGTGGTGTATGTGTAAGGCTTTTAGCTGGTAAATCGTCGCTTTTGAAAGAAGAATGGCTGTTCTTGTTTCATCATGATGCAAACCCCTCTGCAGACCCTCTCCCCAGCTATCAGAAACTTGGTTTATAAATTTTAAGTAGGATGAAGAAAGCTTTCTCCTTAAAGAAGTTGCAGCTATCGGTCTCAAATTGACTTGTTTTCTAAGGGACTTCAGAAGCTCTACATTATGTGATTAGAGAGCGAAAAATAGTTTTATTTTATCTTGCAGGATGGAACCGCCTTTGGATAATGAGAAACTTTTCAGACCATCCTATATTGCTAGTGTTGAGCCATCTCAAATAACAGGACTGGTAAATGTGGAGGATATTAAAGCAGATCTCTCTGCTGAATTTTCTTTGGTTTCTTCAAGCTCAGATACAAGCCAGGTAAGAAAGCTTTAATGCCTGCATTGTTTGGATTTTTTTTTTAAATAAGCTTAGTCCTTTCATCAATAAAAATAATCAGAATTTTACAGAGAAGATGAAAAGCATCTTTAGTATGCTTTTAATTTGGAGGAGATGCATAGGATTGCACTACATTGTGTGGCACTGCACCAACTGCATTGGGTGCATCAGTCTTCTGTCAATGAAGTTAACTGCCAGTTCAGAGCAGCTTAATCATAGAATGTTTTTGTGAGTTTCATTCTTGATCTCTAGTTGGCCTGAATGTAGTGTATATACATGTGCTGCAAGATTATTAACTCTAAGTTAACACAGCAAACTTTTGCACGAGCCTAAGCACTTGTAAAAACTGATGTAGTGAATTACATTTGCTTCCCATGTCATCAAATAAGTCTGTTCAAAATAGCCTGATGAAAATAAAACTGCCTTAATGTGCTATCTTTCAAACAAAGAATCTAGTAAAATTTTTAACTTCCTTAATTTTTTTGTTTTCTTAAATTAAGAGGAGCAGTTTGGAGTCTAAGGGACACATACAAGTTTGCCTGCGTATTAGGCCATTTACATCGTTGGAAAGAGAAAATGAATTGCAGGTGTGGCATTTATTTAGTTCTAAAATACTTTAAATGTATGGGGTTTTTTTTCCTGTAATCTGAGCTCTTTATACTCTTTTCATGCCTGCATTGCTTGTGCTTCCTTTTAACAGGACTGTGTTTCACTTGAAGACTCAACAAGCATCATACTGAGGCCCCCAAAAAACTCTTTGAGTCGACTAAGTGAAAAAACTGCTGGACAGATGATACAGAAGTTCACTTTTTCACGAGTAAATGAATTGTCTTTGAAAGTTTTTAACTTATTCCTGGAAAAAGTTGTTTAACTTTATATTATTTAATACCAAGCAAACTAGATTTTTTTAACTCTCAATAGTCTTTAAGATTATAGACATATCGAATTTAAAAGATTCTTTAAAAGTCTCTAATGATTGCTTAAACAAAATAAAGATGTTTTGTTGGTAATGCTCAGGTGTTTGGACCAGAAACAACTCAAGAAGAATTCTTTGAAGGTACCATGAAGCAACCAGTGCAAGATTTCTTAGATGGATATAATCGTCTTATTTTTACATATGGCGTTACAAATGCTGGGAAAACCTACACATTCCAAGGTATAAATAGAGATGTGTTCTCCTTGAATAAACTTCTTTTTTTTTTTTTTTTTTTTTAAATGAGGATTGTTCCTAGCAGAAATATTATAACTTTTTCCTTTATTTAAACTTTAGGCCCTATACATTGGCTTCTCTTGAATGTTAATAAATAGCCTTTGAAAGTGTCCTTCTGTAACAAATATCACTAAACTGACAACAGACAGAGTCACTGTCAGAGTTTACATAAACATGTAGTGATATTGCTTTGTGAGACTGGAATAATTTCAACCAGGTGTGTGTGACTTTTTCTCCCCCCTCCCCAAGTATCTAGAAGGTCAGGGAGGAGGAGGAATTAGGAAAAAACATCTTCTATATATCAGGATGTGAAAAGTGTGTAAGTTGCTCTACACCAGGCTAGCATTTTGTTATTTATTATTATTATTATTCTAAAGGCCATATGCATCTTATATGTGCTGTCTTCAAATAAGGAATAGTATTTGAGTATGTTTCAATTATTATAGGCAGAGAATAAACATTTTGAAACATGTTTGATTACTTCCAAGTATTTCTGTCTTGTCTCAAGTTTCCAAGCTTATTGATAATATTCTAGGAGACCTTGTCTCCTGATGCACTATTTCTGTACTGCTAAAACTCAATATGCTTTCTGGTCAGAAGATGTCATTCTTCAATTATTTTTCAAAGCATTTTAACAAACGAGGTGATTTGATTGACATGGAAACAATTTCTCCTAAATGAAATGGCAGTTCTAGATGCTATGCTACTTATTCTACATGAAGAAGTAGTAGAAGGACAGTGAATTTTGTGCCATATGAAACTGATCTTTATTGAAGTGACGTTGTCTTCTGAGTGATCTTCTGTTAGGTGGATTATGACTGAAGACTACTGCCAGTACTTTCAGTTATCATTAATCTTGGGCAATAATGGGATGCTCCCTCCTGTCCTAATAAATAATAGGTAAATAACAAAAACCAAAATTCCTAACATATACAGTCCCTCATGCTTGACTAGGTTGGGGTATATTGTGCGGTGTGGTTTTTCAATAATTTTTTGATTCACGTCTTTTCAGACTCTGGAGGCTTTTTCATGGTATTATAATTTTAGGACTTAACAATCAACTCGTGATGAGAATTGGCAGGGCAGAATGTAAGTGGCCTCCAAATTCCTCATGTATGCCTCGAGATTAGAATTGCTTATCTTTCTGTCTTCATTTATGTGTATGCCTTGTTCATAGTAATAATTGGGGTTTTTCTTTTGTGTGTTGCTTACAGGGACAGAAGATGACGTTGGTATTCTGCCAAGGACTATGGATATGTTGTTTAAAAGTATTCAAGGAAAGCTATACACAGCAATGGATCTCAAACCCCATCGGTGTAGAGATTATATAAAGTTGACTAAAGACCAAGTGAGAGAAGAAACTGCTATTAAAAATTCAATACTTCGCCTAACAAAAGAGGTAGAGGAGCACTTCTTTCTGTACTGATGAGTATGCACATATTTAGATAGTCTCCTCCCGTTGAAAAATTAACAGGATAACATTGAGCTATCTGTATTTAAGCATGGATGTGTCTCTTTGCTGTCAGCCAGCTATTCAGATTAGCAGTAAAGTGAGCAATAGAGCTGATCAACCCTGTTCTCCTGTGGATTACTGTCTTGTGGCTGAATACTTGATAGGATGTAAACTCTAAACTTTTTACTCTATAGCTTGGGCACCTGGTTATTTATCCTCTGAGGTTACTGGTGCTTAATAAGGACTGAATGGAAATAGTTTCCCCATCTGTGGGGATGCTAGTAGCTCTGCTCCTTTAAACAATTCACTGTCTTTCAGGATACTTGGAAGAAAATAATGATTTTGAGGTTGTTTCCCTCTTCCAGTTTAGCAAATATCCTCAAAAGATGCAATTTTTTTTTTTAAACAGAAGAGCTATGAAGACAGTGGACTTCTAAAGATTTGAATTAAAATGGGTTTCTGCTGGACTTTATTCTTAAACAGATCACTGTTGAGCAGTCCAGAAATACACTTCAGTTTTCTTGAGTTGCCTGGAATTCTAAAGCTGTTTAGTCCAATTAGTTATGGGAGATTTGTATTTTTTATAAGCATACCTTTTTCTTGTTTTTAATTCTGAAATGAATGGAATTATATATATATATATATATTTCTATAAAAAGCCCTGAGCATATGCTAGGAATTACAACTAGAAAGGGATTATTGTGTTTTTTTTATTTTTAATGAAAAGAATTAAGCATCTCCCTAGGGGTGTGCTGGGTTATAATGGGGTGTTCTGGCCATTGTGGGATAGAATATATCTGTTAACTTGATTTTTATCCGAGTTAGTTAACTGGAATTCTCCAGTGTGGAAGGCAGGTGGCAGCAAAATTCTCCAAGACCACTTCAAAAGCACAGGCATATGTTATATCTAGCTCTAGCAGTCTTTAAGGACTTCAGAAAAACCTGTCGTGAAATGTGTGTTTGACCACCCATACACGTCCCCTCTAGTTTCTAAAACTGTGGTTATAAGAAAAATACTTCAGCTTATAAATTTGGTGGCAAAGTTTGCATCTACTTCAACAGAGGCAGGTTTGGGTGGGTGTGTTGTCTGTAAAGCTTAAACCTAAAAGTCTTGATTACATAAATATTTAACTATTTCAGGAATTGCTTTATGGAAGCCCAGGTTTGTATGAAATATACTCTTGACAAAACATTAAAAAAACCCAACCCAAATCACACCTGTTTTTAATCCATGTTTCTTCTCTTAAGCATACTGGTTTTGGCAGATGAGCTGCACTTCTTTGCATTTCTGTGCCTAAAAAAAAAAACCTACTAACCAAAACTAGGACTGTGAATGGAGTGTATGTGCATGAAACTCATGAGCTCTAGCTGAAGGGATTTGTTTTACTTTTTTTTAAAGAGCTCAGCAGAAGAAAATTTTCCTTCTTTCAAAAACCTAGACTTTATTTCAATTGTGAAAGGCTTCTACAGCTTGTATCATGAAGAAATAAGTTGCTCACTTAATTTCTTAAGCAAATGAGTGTTCTACATTTACCTCTGTTTCTGAGGGTTGACCTAGTCAGCCATAAGATATGGAATCCTGAATTAGCAAAATACCAACAATAAAACAATTTAGGACTCTCTAGATTCACCAGGTTGAGTAATGTATAAACTGCAACTGAACTACTACAACTGAACTTCTGCAAATCATCTTGTTAAATCACCCTGTTTCTGTGTGGGCTCCCACCTCTCTATTTTTCTGTGGCTAGTTTTCTTCTGGTTCAGCAAGCTGAAATACTATATCCTCTGATAAGACCTGATGTAAGGGAATTGTCAGGAATGAGTATTAAGGTAAGAACAACACTTTCACTAGGAGTGTACAGGTGCATTGAACGAGGCATGATGCATAGCCAGGATCTTTGTATTGGCTTATTGCGTCTACGCTGTATTGCTATCTAATAGGACCATAGAGCTGTTATAAAAGTAACTGGTGGTGTACTGGTGATGTACTGGCAACAATATATCTTAAAGTCTCTGTTTTCTTTTGTAGGCAGACCATCAAAATAGCAGTAACAACAAAGCACCAGTTGATTCTAAGGGTATGTTTTATATTAAAGAATTGCAATTAAAGCTGGCAAAGAAGCTTTCTTAAGGTCAATAACTGACTTCTGGCTTATGTTAATAATAAAATGACTACTTGGCATTTTTATATGCCTGTGAGTTGGATAGTGAGCAAGTTATCTGGACAGAAAACACAAGGATAAAATGGTTAGAAGAACACCTGAATGGGCATCAAATGAGATGAAACTATAGCAAGGAAAAGTAGTACTACTTATGCTATGGGCCCTAGTGTTCTGACAGGCTTTTAGAGTACCTGTATGTAATAGGTAAAATACTACCTAACTACTAGGTTTGCTTTAAAAAGTCAGAATGAAGTGTACTTGTCAGTTTAGTTCTGTCTTCTAAAGATATTCAAGAGACTTAAATAATTCTAACCAAGCTGTATGTGTTTGATAGAATTTGCAAGAGGAAAAGGAAGTGGTAAAGTAGGTGTCTCTTGCAAATATGTAGGGTAAGCATGTGATTTCCAGATACTTAAAGGGGGGGTGTGGAATTTCAATGGACTTTTGTCTGGGGTAAGTGTTTTTTGGAAGGCTGCTGTAAGATCAATTTTCACTTATTAATTCTTTTAAATGACATTAACTTTACTACGCCTATATTGACTTGTAATATTTTGTACTTGGCAGATTTAGAAGAACTCTTAAAGGACTCGGAAGAATCTAGCACAACTGTAAAAAACTACATGAAGTTTTCTGTTTGGGTTTCATTTTTTGAGATTTACAATGAATGTTTTTATGATCTACTGATTCCTATATCAAATGACAAGAAAAGAAAAACACTACGCCTTGCTCAAGACATCAAGGGATGTTCTTATGTAAAAGGTGATTAGAATACATTGCAAATTGCCAAATATGTAATTCAAAAAGTCAGTCTTCCTGTAATAACATTTCTTTCTAGATTAGAAAAGTCCTAAATGCATTCACTGTGGCACTAGAAATGTATACCTTGAGTATGAAAGGCAACAATCTACATACATAGAAGTATCTGTACCTTTAATAGTGTTTTCTCTTTATTCTTGACTGTAACTTTTAAAAGCCTGTGTGTACTCCACTGCCTTGCTATTTCTTTGAAATGGGAGAAAAATGAAAACAATTGACAAATTTTTTTAGTGGTTTGTTGTTTTTTTTTCCCATTTTCTTAAAGACTCCAAAAGTTCTTAACTATAGTTATAATTGACTCAACAGTGATGGGTGGGGTTTTTTGATATTTTTTTTTTTAATATTTTCTGTAGAGAAACAGACTCCAGAAAACATGTGAGAAAGTTCAGTCTGGCTTCAAATTACATTTTACAGTGCTCTAGTTTAAGCAAACTTGTAATTTGTTTTGGGTTGGGGGGTGGGGAGCTGACAGAACTCAAAATAACAGTTCAATGTTTGTTTTTGGCCATGGAAAAATAGGGTTTGAAACCTGTTTGATTTGTTACAGGTTCTTTGGACAGTCAACACACCAATTCTAGATTAAAGTCTTTTTTTTTTTTTGTAGGTGTTTGGCCTGCTGCTTTTATCTTTTATATGTCCAGTTATAGATTTTTAAAAGCTGAATTGGACACCAAACCCAACTCCTTCATTTCTTTAAAGACTAGCAAATGTGTGAACTAGGAAATAGTTTGCTTTGAGCTATGCTTCAGCCTAATCTTTTTTTATAAAATTTGGAAGTGTAAGGCTGTTCCGGGCGTTGTTGAGGAAAACCAGTTAATGATTTTCTTGTTTTTTCTTGATCACAGCTGGTATTTTTGCTAGTACAATTTTTGGTGACCTCTAGTTTAACAGAGGCCATAATGTTCATGTTACAAGTTCTGTTAGTAGGGTTGTAGGCATTTAATCTAGCACATACCAAGATGACATATAGTCATCATATTGCAGACAAAATTCTTCACTGATGTTTTCCAGTTAAGTTGATGGCCCTGAAAGATATCCAGATGACGTCCCCTTGCTTCTCAAAATTGTAGGCTAAAACAGAGAAGCTGTCCAGGTAGAACTCTGCCTTGATGAATATGAACACAGGGCTTTCATACTTGTATTAGACCCTACCTTCTGGCTTTTCAGTGCTCAGACTAAGATTGCTCACTTAATTTAGATGGAACATATTTTAGTGTGCTAATAGGATGAAATGATGCGATATACTTGTCCTTCCTTTCCCATGGAAGGAGGAATCTTGATCTTATTTCTCATCATATAATTTCTGTCTGAAGCAGGCTTAGTAAAATGTTTGTATGTATCACGTAAATGTATTATGCTTGGTGTGCATAATTATTCACTAATCCCTTCTTTCTTTTTGATAATGGTATTTACAAAATTATCGTGTTTGTTCTTCCTAAAGATCTGCAGTGGATTCAGATTTCTGATTCTAAAGAAGCTTTTAGACTTCTAAAACTGGGGTTGAAACACCAGAGTATTGCAAGCACGAAACTAAATACTTGCTCCAGCAGAAGGTGAGAAACACTTTGAATAACATTGGGCATAGGATGGTGTGTGGGAGGAAGGAGTAACTGACTTATGGCTTGTGGCTTTTAGGAGGGGAAGAGGCTTTAACAAGGCCTAGATATCTAGGTTTTGGTTTTGGTGTCCTTTAGCAGTATGTGACCAGTGCTTTAAGCTAAAAGGATTCAGTCCTTCAGTAAGATGAACATGTACAAAAGCTAACAACACTTTATCAAATACTCTCCTTCAAGCAAAAGCACTTAGCTTTATTCCATCTAAATGTCTGAGGACAAAGCAAAATAAGTGCTACATGAATATCTCTTTAAAAGTTTGTCTGGTAGGGCATAATCTTAGATATGTAAACAGATTCAACAACATTTTGAACAGATGTTGTGGAGGCTAAAAATATTTTGAAGATGTTAGTCTACTTTATCACTTCTCTGCTGACTTAAACTTCTCCTTTTAGTCACAGCATATTCACAGTTAAGGTACTGAAAATTGAAGATTCAGGAGCACCACGAGTGACCCGAGTCAATGAGTAAGTTCAGAGCAGAGTCCCCCTCTTCTTTTGTGATGTTGTCAATTATCTTCCATGTTGGTGTACTGATACTGCACTATGCACCCAGTGTTCCCTGGTACAGCCTTATGCATGTATGGTGGTTCCCCACTTCCTACACTCATTACAGTACTTGACCCTCTGCCTCAAGCCATCAGGTTGCAATGCTGTTCTATGTCTTGTCCCTTCTGTTCAAGGAAGTGTGTTGGAAAAAGTGTTTGGCAGGAAGTAGTGTGAAATTTGATGGGGGAAGCAACGTTGAAAAGGATGGAAGGGTTCATGCAGATGAAGACCAACAAATTCTTCCCCTAAGAAAAGGGATCATTTTTAGAAGTGAATAATTTGTGCATGTTCTAAGGTAAATAAAGTTAATTTTCCTTATCTGTTTTCAGATTGTCAATGTGTGATCTTGCTGGTTCAGAAAGGTATACCAAGACCCACAATGAAGGTGACAGATTAAAAGAGAGTGGAAATATAAACACCTCTCTCTTGATTCTAGGCAAGTGTATTAATGCACTCAAGAACAGTCAACAGTCAAAGTAAGTTCTCTTACAAATTGCAAACTAGTTGTGGTTTTTAGGTATTGCCTACTACGTTTAAAAGCTATTGTTTGAAATATGCAATGCTAACACTAAGTTTTTGGTAGAAAAGATGAATAGACTTGTAAAGTCTCTACTGTGAAGTCTTGTTGATCTACCAAAGTTATCTTTAAACTCTCCTTGTTTTGCTCTTTAATTAAATCATTCAAATTCTAGCATCCTTTAAACATGCTATCATAGAGTTCAGTAATTTAACTTTCTTCTGAGCTTGGCTTATCAAACAAACTTTGGAATAAGTTTAAAACTCCCTTTTCACTAGCATCATAGCAAGAGTCAAATTTTCAGCCTTTTATTACTCCTTTGTGAACTAACTCCATTTTCATCAGCAGGATATTACTGTGGTATCATAACTGTGCGCTCTGACAAAATTTGTCTGTTTTTTCTAAATCTTGATATAACTTTTAACACTCTCCTCCTGATCTAGCTAACCATATGCAGACAAAAGAAAGCCTTCCCACTATTTATGCCCTAGCTTGGGGATCTAAATAAGAGTAAAATTGTACAAAAAGTTAGCTGTCTAAAAAAAAAAAAAAAAGTACAATATATAGTCACAGCTGGATGTAACTCTCCAGGAACTTTTTCCATAGGTTCTCATTTGAAGATCTTTTTCTGTCCCAGAAGTTAAATGAACTTTCATTCTGCTGATTGATATGCCCGTATGTGTTCTGCCAAATTCACTTAACCCGTAACAGTGTTCCGGATAGCCTATTCAAAGTCCATCACACCTTTAAGATGAAAAAGCTTTGCTAACATGTGTTCCTGATTAACCCTACATGTTTCAAATGTACAGTCTTTCTTATCTTTCTGTTCTTTCCAGATAGGAAGGATGCATTAAAACTAGCAGCTGCTTAGAGGGCTGTTAATGTATTCAGAATGTCTTTTTCTGATCCTAACAACTTGGAATTTTAACAATATAGAGGAAATGTTCTGAAGCATAATCTCTTAAAGTGTTAATAGATGCCCCTTTCAAGTTGAATAGGAAGCAGTAACTTTCTTAAAATGATTCTTGTTTATTACTCCTGAAGCAAAGCTACTTATGAGTTGTATGTGTATTCTGGCAGGAGTGTCACTATCTCGCTGAGTTCTGTAGCACTATTCATATAACTGAATAGCTGTCATGGATCCAAAATGCAGGCCACATATTCAGTGGCAAGTGCATGTTTAGTCATGTTTTAAGAATTCTCATAAAATTTCCTATAAGCATCAAAAACTACATCACCAGCTGTTAAAATCAAGGGCACAACTTCTCACTTAGGAAATGCCAAACTGCTGGGGGATTAGGGAAAGCGTCCTGAAAAGTATCTCCATGTGTTTTGTGTACACTCATTTCCTTGCCTAGGCACATGTTGTTGTCCATTCTCAGAGGCAGGGTACTGAGTGAGAGAGATCTCTGATAATGTTGGATACTGCATGCCTAAACTGGATATGTCCTCTTCATGAATGTGGAAAGGAAAAGAGAGATGCTGTATAATTTGATGTAGCATGAGGCTATGACCTACCCTAGGCTAAACATTGAACATGCTTTTGGTTTAAGTTCTCCCATTGATTGCATTGCTGTAGCCTATCTGAGACAACAGCTAAAGCAGCAGCCACAACAGTGACACAATCTTTTCACAAACAGCTGTATCTAGTCCAAACCAATTTTAATTGATTGAAAGACTACTGCTTTAATAAATATTTTTAAGTCTTCAGGCTGGATAGTTCTTCCACTGACTGGAAACTATTAAACTTGTGGTCATCTATTCTTTTGTCTTTAAAGGTTGCAGCAGCACATACCCTTTCGGGAAAGTAAGTTAACTCATTTCCTTCAAGGATTCTTCAGTGGAAAGGGGAAGGTATACATGATAGTAAACATAAGTCAATGTGCTTCAGCATATGATGAAACACTCAATGTGCTAAAGTTCTCAGCCATTGCACAAAAAGTAAGTGTGTTGTAGTTTACCTTGTTGATCAGTACTTAAGATTTGCATTTAAAGAGCAGGTTCTCTCAATTCTAAGAATATGAATTCAGTTACTGGATTTTTCTGTCTCATGTTGCAATCATATTTTCTAATTACTCCTAGTCAGGCTTTGTTTCCTTGTAGAGCTTTTAAAAAGGCTTTGTTGGGACATTTTTTTTTTTCTTTGGAGCGTGGGTGTGGGAGCATCCCCTACTGAAAATCCATAATCCCTATAAAATGTCCAGCCTAACAAGACGCTTTCTATATTTGGAAGAAATACCCTGAGATCTAGGTACATTTTTCTTCTGTGCTCACAACATGCTGTCACCTCGGAGCAACTCTAGCTGCTCCATATGCTACTGCTATCTTAATTTGGAATATTGCTCACCTGAAATATTGATAAAATGGAAGCCATGGAAAACTTCTGTTGACCGTTAGACATGTTCAAAGGACAATAGATCCAGGCCTTTGGAATGTGGGCTCATCTAATCAAGTTAAGTACAACACTAGAAGGAGCGGACTGTAAGGGTGATACAGTTGTCAAAGAAATAGAATTTGTAGGAAGATATTCATGTAATGCAACTAGAAACTCAAAGTATAGGAAATACAGAAATTTGTTGGTGCATGAGGTGGCAACCCTCTTGTAGGTTGCTGAGCTAGTGAAGCTTGG